TTTTCGACATTTTACTTTTTGACATTTATACTTTTCGACATTTTTCTTTTCGACATTGCGTATTCGACATTTATCCATTCGACATTTTTCCTTTCGACTAAAGTCAATACATTCTTCTTGTTCATCAAATGAATCTTCACTACATTCAACTAAATCATTATCGTGAGACTGATCGATTGCATCATCATCATCGTCGTTATCTAAACTATCATAAGCATCATAACTGTTAATAACTGAATGATCAACTGTTGATCTTTTATTAAGTTCATGAAGTACAAATGAACTAAGTTTATAAATATCATTTAAATTGGATTGATTCAAGACTTCTATTAATTGAAAATTATTCATGATTGATTCTGCTTTTTCATAAGCCTTTATTATTATATTTTCTATATCCTGTATAGTAACTGTTGATATGTCTTGAGTAGTTGCAGATGTATTCGATTCATCACGACGATATTTCTGATGTCTTCGAAATTTCAAAGAAGATTTATTATTATTAGATTTTTCTGTTGACTTTATTTGATTCAACTGGGAGATTTTTGCAACTTTATTTATAAACTGATATATTGAGAATGTTGTTATTGTTGATAAAGATCCTGATAGAGATCGACCAGTACGGAACGTTGATTCGCCTGGTTGATTGCTAAATAGATAACAATTGAGGGCATATGATAGTAAAGTTCCTTTGCGAACTAATAAAATGATAAATGTTAAAGTATGTACATTAATTTCAGAAGAAAGCCAAGCGGCTCGTGTGATAAAAGAATTATCTTTTTCTGTTTGAGAATTAAATTTTTATCGATTCGAATACTACACTTAAAAAACAGTTTCGAAATGAACAGTTAAACTGATTTTTAGTTTTTACCACCAAATTCTGTATGAAAACACAACAACCTAACCAAAATATAATCTAGAAAGTATATCTGTATTTGTTTTAACATAAGCAAGTATAATGAGTTTTAGCACGTATAAATAAATGTATGTTGCTCGATGATTCATTTGTTTTAATAAAGTTAAAACGTCACCTGACGTAATTTTTAAGCAAGAAGTGTAATTCTGCTTATCATGTAGCATAATATCAGATCGAACCAAATCATGATCAAGTTTTGGATGACTTTCAACTAAATCAAGTAAATGATTAATATCAATAGAATCATTATTAATGTGCAAAGTGGAAATATCAGACAAGAGACGATTACGAATCTTGGTCACCAAGTGCGGCCCGTCTTGCATGCATAAGAACAATTGTTGAGGTCTCATGAAAAAAAAACTTCCAATTAAATGGTACATCAATTGTAAATATGTTCTCATTTCCTGTTAATAAATCAGCATTAGGTGCTCTAGAAAAGAAACCTAAAGGTAGCCTCATGACTTTGAAATATCTTGAGGCACAATCAATTGAAAAACCAACTAGATTGATATTACGTTCTTTGCATTGATTGCAAATATAAATCCATCTACGTATAGTATCATATGCAGAATGCTTATTATCAATACCATAAACACTCAAAATGTACGGCCTAGAATGAATTGATGATGTTAAATCTGTTAATAATGGTTCAATTAGTATGTGTATTGAGCGATATTTTTAAAAATTGATAGCTATATAAAATATGTAGAATTGCTGAGTTTACATTTTTGCTCATTATTTTACAAGTAACGCTCGTCTGCCGGCTCGCTCAGCTCTTTCTCGTAGAAATCGTATTCTACAATACTAAACTTTTTGCTTATACAGTTTGGAAAAATTAACACCAGATTTGTGTTCTTCCACCCCACTTACCCTTCGGTCACCCCTTATGAAATTTTTTTTTTATAAAAATTGGTTCTCTCTCTAAAAAAGTGATCCATAAAATTATTTTATAAACTAACATCAGATTCGAAGTCTCCGCATCGAAATGCCCCAAAAATACCTTTTCTAAAAAATCGATTCTCGAATTACCCTCCGGTAAAACTTTCTTCGAACTATCTTTAAGATTAATAATATTAATTAATTATTAATTGATTTTTAACTAAAACTAACCTCACATTCGAATTCATGGCACTCGATTACCCTTCGGTCAAACTTTTTTTTTAAATTAATAAATTCAATTATTAACTGATTATTAACTAATTATTAATTGATTGTTAACTAAAAGTAACCTCAGATTCGGATTCTCCACACTCGATTACCCTTCGGTGAAACTTTACTCGAACATATAATAATACTAATTATTAACTGATTATTAACTAGTTAGTTTTAATAAACTAACCTCAGATTCAAGTTCCCCACCCTCGATCTCCTCGCCCCCCCCCAAACGTTTTCCAGAAGTATCTGAAAAATTAAATTTCAATGTTTTTTTGACCCTGCGGACAGAGGTATGCTTAGATTTCTACTAACAGCAAACTTTAGCAATTTCCAAAATTTCCCATTTCCCATAATCAACAGCTAATAAACATTATACTAAAAAGCCGTATCCTTAAATAAGAAATTTCAAGCACGTACGGAAATTTCCACATACA